AATTTCTAGGCTTCCCGGGCACGTACCCGCCGACGTGAACCGTACGTTTTCCCGGGCCAACCGCGCATCTGTACAGGATAAAACTATGAACAACTCGTCACATCATCGCAAGACCGCCACTCCCCTCGTGCAGGTTTTCACTGCACGAGCCCAGCTCTTTCCTCACCTAGCTGTCTTTTCTCCCCTAAATTTATAATTTATCTCTAATCCAGGCCTCTGCACGACCAATTACGTTCTCTACGCGTTCGCGTCCCAACGCGAACCCAAGCACGGCCGAGAACTGTACTGCATCCGGCGGCAGCGCAGAAGCGCGCGCTTGCCGCCGTTCCTCCGGAAACGGAGAAAACGAAATTAAAGAGTAACTCCCGCCGCGAGGCTCAACCATCGATATGGCGGTGTGAGGATCCGGAACCCACTGTGCGCACAATTAAACGGAATCAACCTCACGACTCTACAACCAGATACGCACGGGTCATGCCCATCGCGTCAGACTGGACTCCACGGAGCATTACACACGCACAGCCACTGATAAAGTGAAAACGGAAACTCTGTGGCTTTCTGGATTCCAATATCTGCGCACCAGACATCGCGTACCCGGCACGATTTAGTGGGCTGAGCCCCTAAATGTAGCCTCTGGCCAGAAGGTACTCGTTCAAAGCGATCTTGGTCGGAACCACAAGAGCGCATCCCGTACCTTAAAACGCTGTCAATTAAGGACGCTCAAAACCGCGCCGACAGCTCAAGCAAGGCCAACTGGGAGCTAGCATGCGGTCAAACCAAGACGCTAGTCTCCTCCCGGACAAAATGCAATGCGGGAATAATTTCCAAACACAGTCCATGCAACCGCCATGCGCAATGGGAGCGTTGTCCACCCAGAGCGATGCCTCTTTAACGCGTCCGATCAGTAACAAGCGTTACAAACCATTACATCGATACGCGAACAAAGGCGGTTAGGCGCGTCACATCTCCCAAACCGTGAGCCGGCATCTTTCTCAGCAGACGTGGACGGCCGGAGGCGTAGGTGGGGGGACGCCCGACGCTACAGGCCTCGAGGGGTGCGGTAAATTCGACGCACATAGCGCTCTTGCTCAGCAGGATCAACCTGCCAGCATCCAACGGTGCGCTGGACAGCAAATACTCAAAGCGCTTCTCGTAACGGGGATAAGTAAATTCCTGACAGGCTGGGCAAAAGGGTTAATCCCTTAAAACAGCGGTCAAAATCCGCGCCTCCTAGTCAGACAGGCGATAATGTCAGGGCCTCCGTGCGGCGCTCCCGCAACGAAACTTCGTGCGGCGCTCCCGCGACAAAGATGACCCCCAAAAAGAGCGCGAAACAGTGCCCCAATTCAACCAGAAACAGGTTAAGAATCGAAATGCCTGCCTGATCAAAAATCAGGCCCCACGTTGGGCGCCAGTTTATGCGGGCATCTTCTAACTCCGAGTCCCACAAACCCTGTCTCCGGATGAATATGACACTGCAATACTTCGCTCTCGGCAAAAGGGTTTAATCACTCACTCATTGCCTTGGGGGGTTTCGGGATCGGGGGACGGTTAACAGCGAGGCCGCGGGAGAGTCCGCTGCCATAGCAGCTTCTCCAAGTCCCAGCGGTGGTCATCCACACCGCGTCATGGGGACGTCGTCGTCCAGGGTCGCTGTCCGGTCCGCTTGTCGAGTCCGCCACTCGACGTCGTGCCCGCACTCCCTGCGCCAGTGTCCGGCGCCGTCCGAGCTCGCCTCCATGACCGGTCCCTTGTCAAGTCGGCAGCCCAAGCCCAAGCTTCCTTCCTTTGTCTCCGTTCCCCTTTTGAGACCTTCCCAAGTCCTTGTCCCGCCGACCGTCCAATCGGGAACCTTGCTGCGAGCCGACCCTCCGACGTCAGCGCTGGGTGAGGGGGCGCTTGCCCCGTACCTCCCGGAGAGCTCGGACTTTCCGCGACAGGACGGCGACTGGAAACGGGAAGGTCACAGGGAACGAAGGAGCGCCCGACAATACGGCGGCGGGGACCGGCAAGGTCACGGAGCGCGGAGGAGCCAGGGAGAGGGTCCCCACAAGCTTAACTGCTGCAATAAAGTTAGCAGGTGTATAAACAGTGCAGGATAATAAATATGTTAACAGAGCCTAGGTCCGTTGTGTGCGTGTTAATATATTTCCTCTACACCCCCCCCCCCCCCCCCCCCTTGCCCAGCGTGTCCCGCATTTCGCTAGGAGGAAGGTGGTCACCCTACTTCTGACTGTGAGTTGAGAAGACACGAAAACTAAAACGATCCGAAAACAAGGTTGTCACGTACTCCGCTTTGGTTTCCTTCTGCCTTAGGTTTGGGTTCTTAAATCCGAAAACGCTAAACCAACACGAATTTTGTGTTCAATTCTAGTCTTTCCCGTAGAATCTAACTGTCATGATTCGTCAAGCAATTGATATATCTGCGGAATGATTTATTGCTTTGGGGATCGGTGGAGCGAAGGCTGGTGCTGCAAATTTCAGTGATTCTGGGCTTGATTTCCGCCATCGACCGTATGCAATCTTGATGAGCGTCCTCCGTGTCTTGTAATCGCTACTGCGTGATGCACGTTCAGTAGAAAGACGATGCCAGGGGAAAAAAAGGCGGAAACAAGGAAAGCTGAAGTGGAGTGGAGTGACCTCCTTCCCAGCGCGCCCTTTTCCCCTCGCACTGTCTTTCTTACGTTCCACCTGAATATAGTTGGAGACCTGGAGTCATCTTAGAACACCTTCTGGAGTAGCCAAAACTAAATTTTGTAACGAAAAAAAAAAGACTTTTTCAGCACAAGCAGAGTTTTTATTCTCATTCATTCCACTGCAAATGCTATGCTAACTTATCTGCTCCTGTGTCCGAATAGAATACAGTTTTTTTGTCTTTCAACTTTTGCGCAGCCACTTCTTTAGCACCCATGACATAACACAATTACAAACACTTTAATTATGCACATCAGTGGTATTTTACACTCAGAGTTTTACGTTGATCAAATCAACACGTGGACAATAAATATGCCTTTAAAAATCGAGCCGAACTAATTAGTATCAGTAAAGCTCCGCTACTAAAGTTAATTTATTTTTATTTTTAATTTTATTGATTGTGCCCTCGAACACTCAATGAAGAGGGCTATATAAAGGTGTTAACTAAACATAAAAGCTAAGCATATACAAAAGCCCATTTATATCTAATCAACGTGATTTATCAACCACTTCCAAATACACAATTTAAAACTCTTTCCTTAAATCTTTAATTAAAAAAAAAACAAAAAACTACCAATGGTGTAAGCAATTTGACAGAATGTCAAAGTCTATCATGTAAACTAAGTGCAGTTTTATTTGGGAAAACTTAGCTGCAAGGCAAATGTCGCATCGGCATTGCTCTCTCTATATTTTTTCGTAAACAGCTATCGCGCGCGCAGTCGTGTACTCTTCTGCCCCGGAGGAATGTCTTACGTTACCCCTTAACAAAGGCCGCACTGCGGCGAAGTGACAACGCTAAGTAACGATAGCTTCTCAGCAGGCGTAGCTTCTCTGCAGTGCACCAGTGCGCGGCAGGAAGCCGTCCTCAGCGGTGCTAATTAACCCAAACAGACGACGAACAACGAGAAATATCGCGAAACATCCGAATATCCTGTCGTGTTTGAGATATAATCCAAGTTAGACTTGTTTAGGTTAGGTCGGGTTAGGTTAGGTTGGGCTAGGCCATGTTAGGTTTGATCAGGTTAGGTTAGCTTAGATTAGATTAGATTAATTAGGTTAGGTTAAGTCAGGTTACTGTGCATTTACCGCTTAAATGGCAAGGCGACAAAGTTCGCTGTGAAACTTTTCTTGCAACCTGGAAAAAAAAAACACTGTTTTTTCACAAACTTCCAAAACAGAAATCCGATTTTTTTTACAAAAAAAAAAGGAGACTGTTATTCTAAACACAGACAGCTTTTTCAGAAATCTTCAAAACAAAAACCAATTTTTTTTTCTTCTTTTTTTACAGGAAAGTTTTTATTTCTGAGAGCAGGAGCTGTTTTTATGCAAGGCTGGGCAACAGAAATTCAGTCATTTCACAGAAAGGACCAAAAACACAAAAGGTAATTTTTTAACAAAAATTACGAAAACAGAGAAGCACACGAAAACAGATAATTTGTGGCAAGAGAGCTGCCAAGCCTTTTCTGTTTACTTACACAGTTATTTTTTTACAATGTAGGTTAGGTTGCAAAGGATGCTTTAGGACGGGCTGTGGGCGTTGGAGGAACAACGGTGAAGGGAATCAGCAGGACCCTTCGAAAAAACAAATATTATATATGACCCGCTTTGTGTTATGCCTTCGGAATGCGGTAGTGTCTGCTCGCGACACGTACTGTCAGTGAAAGCTTCAGGTGGTGGACGGAGCCCTTTGCTATGACAACATCGGGTTGGCTGACAGTACACCCGGCGCACGAATGCACCGCACCGCCGGGGGCATTCCGGAAAGTTCGTTCATGCAACAACTGTTTGGTAGGGGAAAAACGTAATATATTTATGGTTTTCGAGGACATAGCTGTCCATAAAGTTAATGTAATAATTGTATTCTTGTTGTCTTGATTGACACAGGTTAATCGCCAGGGCGGCTGCGGTCTCTGCGTGGACGTCGTCACCGCACACTTTTTACTTCCGGAAAAAGAAAAACAAATGTGGAAGACATACCATTACACGATCATCTCGTCGCCTCAGAATCAGCATTGTAAAGAAGGCCTCCCCCCCCCCCCCCCCCTCCTTTTTTTTTTTTTCAGGACGTGCCTTATTATGACTTTAAATCGGAACGACATAAACCTCGATCCAATTAGTTAGTGATCAGAAATTCAGACAGGAACTGAATCGAGAGGAAGCTCCTTTGTTTACGAGCGCGTCGAACATCGTCCCATCCCTTCATCTGTTCGTGTTGTTTACGGCTGGACCTTACAATCGCCGACCTCTTTGTCTTCGCACGGGGGAATAGCCCTCGACCTTGATTGCCCCTTCAGAGATAGCGGCTCCTGAGTCGGCCCAGATAATAAACCGAGGCCCTGGGACAGCCAGTTAGCAGACGGCTCGTCTGGTTTCTGTTCCCTGAGAAGACGTCCGTTTTGCACTGCCGCGTGAAACCATGAGCACTCTGAAGGAGATCTGCGGGGGGCTTCCCCTGGACCCGCTGCCCCCGAAAAAGCGCAGGGACGAGGCCCTGCCCCACGCTCCCGTGAGGAACGTGCCCTTGACCTTGGAAGAAAAACAGGTGTGTGTGTGTGTGTCCCACGCAGTAGACACAGCCTCCCGCGAAACAAGTGCGCTCTCTTAATTGGACGCAAGGAAGTCAGAAGCGGTGCCCTGTCGCGTTTACCGCAAAACACTCTTTTAAATTTTAACGCAGAATTGCCTTCTTGTCAAAGCTAACTCAGATCCTGCGAGTGTCCGTCCGTTACGGGCCGTGGTCTAGCCCAGGGGAAGCTATGCGGAGCTCATAATGGTCGTTTAAACCGCCTGCTATAAACCTTGGTGGTATGATCGTGCATAGCCTCCTTCTTACGCAGGGGTTGCAGAGACGTCATAGAGCCCAGCTCTGATTGGCTGTGATTGGCTGTGATTGGAAGGGTATGGTGGGTAGACCTCAATGCCAGCTGCACCAGTACCAAACAAGCAAACATGCGTTGATGCATACTGGCTTCATACATACGTGTGCTTCGAACGTACTTAAAACAGTTTTTTTTTTGTGACCAGTCTGAAACAACAGAAACAACGGACACCGAACCTGAAACACGTGCAGCAAGCAGGCGAAGGTATCTTCAGCAGGCTTGCGGTCACTCGTCGTGCTCACTGCACGGGCCCGCATCAAGAGACTGCAAGTCTGCCAAGGGTACCTTCTCGTGTATACCTCTGCACGTACTTGAGGTTTGTCGGTGTCGCTTGTTTTCTTTTGTCGCCCTAGTGAGACACGGTCATTTCAATGACCAGTGCACAGCACATGTTATATAAGGTATGCAAACCCGGGCACGTGACTGGGATGAACACTGGCGATACGAGGCGAGGAAAGAACACATGAAAGCTCCAGAAAGTTTAAAACAAAAATAAATAAATAAATGAATAAATACTGAGTTTTGGTTCCAAAATTTCGCAACTAAATGCACGTTTCTGACATAATTTCTTTTCTTGGGCTGCAAATAGTATATATGCGTTAGTAAAATCTGAACCCTATGCTGATTCAGGGTTCCTTTATATGGGTTATTTCAGGCCTCGTGCGGCACAGATTTCAATTCAATTAAATTACCTTTACTCTCACAGTGCAACGTGAAATTATGGAGACCGGGGAAAAAAAACTGCAGTAGTGCAGCTTGACGAGGCTCCCGCATGCCCCCTACATTTCCTTTTAAATAATATTTCGACCACCATGCACAGCCTGCACATGTCCGCCTGCATAGGATAATAATTAAACTACGCTTCAAGGTAACGACACCTCAGCCATATTGGTGCCACAAAATCAGCGTTGCCAGTTAGAGGAAGCTTTGTCAGAAATCGCGGTGGACGATTATTCGTTCTTAGAACCTAAGCTTCTTGACACCGTAAGTTCAAAGCGCAGGAAGTCGCATTTTATAATGAAAAATATCGCCAATAGACCGCTTCAAAAGTCCACCAAGCAACATTGGCGGTTGCCATTGCTTAAACACGAAGCGTGCGATAGGATCCGAGTCCTCGCCGAACGCTGACGTCACACTCGTTTTTCAATACGAGCTTGAGCCGAGTTCACGCCGAATACTAACGCAGCCCGCGGGTCCAATGTTTGCGCGGACTTTTGAAGAGGGTCTATTGTTCGCGCTCTGCACAGAGCACCAAAATGGCGGCACCCACGAGATTATCGGGGAGTGGGATGCTTGTCACATCAAGAAAGAAGGAATTTCTGCACATACTTCATGCGCTGCGTGAAGTAGTTCTTAAAAGATTTGGTTGTCGAAGGAAGAAACGATGCTTTTGGCGTTTGAAACGTCTACGTCTTCATAAAATAAGATTTAGTTCTAATCTCAGACGGTATTTCTAGATATCTAGAAAACAAAATTAAAAACGTCCCGAAAAAAAAAAAAAATAAATAAAAAAATAAAAACGTTTTTTTTTTTTTTTTAAATTTTATTAGGGTTTTTGGAGGTAAATATGCGTATACAAGATGCAACACAAGCGGCGCGAGATTTCAGGTGACAGCTAACTGACTCGGGGAATCATCCGGCTCTTTAGGTCGCCCTGAAGAATGCTCTGCGCTACTTCCCGGCCCGCGTGCACGCAGTTCTGGCTCCCGAGTTCGCCGAGGAACTGTCCACCTACGGACACATCTACATGTACCGCTTCCTCCCCTCGATCCCGATGAGGTGAGTCCGTCCACAGGGAGGTGAGAAGCGCGAGATCTTCACTTTGGCTGGTGCTCCTCGTGCGCCCATAGTATGCATTTTTTTTATAGCACTGGGTGTCTCCAAAAGCGATTTACGGTGCTTTCTTCATTTGTTTTTTACTGCAAAAATAAAGGACGCATCGCGAAACGATCAGTCTCTGCCCAAACGTAGCGCTAGCGATACGGACCAGATGCCTAAGTTTAAGAGTTTGCCGCTATCATGGTTCGAAAATTATAAGCGATTTTCGGAAATATTTTGGTTTTAATAACGGTATGGTGCCGGGGGCGTGTCTCCGATCGGTGTGTTTAGTGTCCTATCCTGCTCATTTATCGATTACGGCCAAGGAGTGGGCACAAATGACGTCACAGACGCCGGAGTGTCATGGCGTCGGATGTCGCGATCCTGGCGGTTGGTCGTAGAAATGCTGGGTAAAAGCACGAGCGAACGCGAGTGTCGCTGTCGTCACCGGATTCCCAACTTCCGTCTGCCGAATCTTCCGTGGATTGCCACCTGCAGCAGAACGGGCGTCTGCCAGATCCACCACCGTTGCCACCGCCAGGGCCTCAACCGGCAACATCGGGAAACTTCTATGACGTCATCAGGCGGAAATAAGGGACCACTTTTTTTTTTTTTTTTTTGGACGCGGTATAAACACGAATCGGAGACGCGTTCCAGGCACCATAATAAAGGGATCTGACGGATCTCGCCCATTCGAAGCCCGGCTTTTTCGAAAGGAATCTCCGGATCCGTATACGTCCCGCACATATAAATAGCGGCGACCGCCACCAAGCCGCTCCACATTCGTCTGTGTATACCTTTGTGCACACAGCCTGTATTTGCGCACTCGTGCGTTTCCCGGTTGTATTTAGGAGGGTTCCCCGCTAATCATTTAGCGGTGTGCCGTATACCAGGGGATCAGCTGTGAGCGTATATCCGGGTGGCGGTCGAGTATCTCTACTCCGCGATGCGCTTTACGAATATCTCCGGGATAGCCAATGGTAGTGCACTGGCTAAACTTCTAATCTGCAGCGAAGACACTGAAGCCCACAGGGGCTCACTAATTTTTCGCAATCTAAACACTTTTTCAAAAGTGCGAGTCATCCGGTAGGTGCTTCACCAACTTTCCCAGTCCGCTATTGTTTGTGTATACGGCGAACACGTATTGGACACGAGGTTTGCGTCATCATTCGGAGTAAACTCGGCTCAGCTCGTATCGAAACGAGTGCTGCGTCAGCGTTCGGCGAGGATTCGGATCCAATCATACTCTTCTTCGTGGCCAAGGATGGATGGATGGATGTTAATGGCTATACCCTTAGTAACGGACGCTAGCTTGCACCACCTAGCCAAAGTCTAAAATGACAAACATACGATTCCTCCAGCCCTTTTGAGTCAATTTTCTCTCCCAACTATCACCAGGCAGTGTGGAATATCACAAGGAGAACAAGAAATTGGGCATAAAACATCCCCCCCTGCCTTTTCTTCACGGCGAGAGAGTCGCCATGCAGTTTTCCACTGGCGGTCGCCAAGAAATAGCGACCGCCAGCTTTGCTCGATGATCTTTCGAAAATGATCTATTACTCGCCCGTAAACAGCTGTCGTCGTAAATACAACCCGCGGGCCGTGGTGTGCAGGGCGTATCCGATCAGCGAGTACCCGGCCAAGTGCCAGCAGGCGGCGGCAGTCATGCTCATGATCATGAACAACCTGGACCCCCAGGTGGCGCAGTTCCCGCAGGAACTGGTCACCTACGGCGGAAACGGCCAGGTCTTCTCCAACTGGGCACAGGTAAACGCCACGACCAACCTAATCCGGTGACGTAACTCGTTTCCCAGCATCCTGAAGAACGAAGACTTGCAAACACTCTGTACACAAAACAGTTATCATACTGTCACGTACGTCTCAAAAAAGGCCTTGCTTCGGCGTCTAGTTTCAGAATCTCTTAGAAACTTCGCGTCCGCGAATGTAGCCTCGGTGATGTCATCTTAAAAGTGTTTTAAATGCAGAGTAGAAATAGATCTTCTGTGACGTCACGTCACACCATGACGTCATGTCCCGTGACACCATGGCGCGACATCGAGGTGTTACGTCGCGAAATGCCATGACGTTGTCACGTGACGTCACGGTATCTCGTTGCACTGACGATTTTTTTTACATTCACGAAACCCTGGCAATGCGCCCTTCCGTGGCCTCTCTGCGTACTGCGCCCGAAAAGGAGGAGCGCGAAGCGTTTTCTTACGTTACGTTTAAGTCACCGGAGCATCAGTGCTTCGACGGATGTCGCGTGCTAGTCTACTCCTTGAACTGGTTGCCACGCTTCATTGGAAGCACAGACGACTCGGGGACTCTCGACGTAAGCTTTCGTAACATAACACAACGTAAGGGAACGTTCAGGATGGCATAGTTTCCGCAGCGCTATCAACACTATTTGCGCGAGTTCACGCGAAGGAGACGCAAGTTGAAACCAGGTGTTTGCGCAGCATGCTGTGTGGAGTTGCTGCGCTGTGGATACAAGGCTAGCCTTGACATCATAAGCACAAAAATGCTAACGCCAAGTGCAGTCGTTGTACTCCGGCCGTTTTTTGAGCTACCCAAACAAATTGCATTTTATGACTACCCGAATTTCAGTCTTCACGGTATGGTATTTCTTTTATCGAAATTCAAAATAGAAATTGAGAAAACCATAAATAAAGATGATGCCGAAACCAGCATTCAGATTTCCGCGCGCTCTCCAGGGGTGTGACGTCACGAATGGTACAGACTTTCGGGTCGTGCAGGTAGTGTTAAACGGAATATGTCAAACGTTTTTTTTTTGTTTTTTTTTTGCGTGTTTTTTAGTGAAACACCTACCAAGCATTCTTTTCTCACCATCAAACGTCTTGCAATCAGTTGGAAACATGGCTCACTGCCCACTTTATGCCATTTCTGTCGTCACACTTCAATGTTGCCAGTAGGGACTCCCGGTTTGAGAACCACGATGAAAACGAAATTCAAAAATTCAATAACTTCGCGAAAGGTTTTTATTTTCACACAATACTTGGGGAACTGGTACAGCCGCGTCTATCGGCGTGTTGAGTCAATTTCAGTCAGCGACCATGAAAATATCGCCGAAGTACCCCTTTAAGCACACGGCAGATCGAGCCGCCATTGCCGACCCTCTCTCGTCTTACCGAGATGCCGAGCCACTGAAACGGTCGTTGGCGAGCCTCCACAAAGGCCAGTGCTGGGGAAAAGAACGCAGTATAGAATCTAAAATTGTAACAACCTGGCCTGCGATGGTAATGATGAAGTAAAGTAAACGGAATAAGAGGAAGAAAACTAAAGATCGGTTATGGCGGCGTCCATACACAGCTGCTGCAAAGCGTCTATAACAGAATATTTTTCTAAATGTTATTCAGACAGACTTCTCAGGGTCAATACATATGTATACGTTTTGTCATAGAGTTTTTCATCTCGGTCGACATGACGTGGCTGCCAGTAATAATTGGAATTGCCACCCAAACATTCACCACACCACCGACAACAGCAGATAACGTATAATGACGTTGCTTATAGTCACATTTAAGTTTAACTTATCTGACGTTATCAAACCGCCCAACAAAAATAAGAAACGGTTTTCTTTGAACGCCTGGCAAGCCGTAGGTTATCTTCGAATACTATCCTATTTGATCGGGCGATTCCCTTCAACCCCTCGCCTGCCCCTTCCCTATCGCGCACCACATCACCGATAACAGTAGGCAACTCAATAGCGCCGCTTTTAGTCACATTTAGGTTTAACTCCTGTGACGACATTGCATCGCCCAATAAGATAAGAAAAGAAGTTGCTTTCTTTACACGTTGCAAGCGGTACGTTGTCTACGTATATACCATGTTTGACGGGGCGGTTTGCTTCACCCCTTGCCCTCTCCTCAGTTCTGGCTGGTGATGCACTACTTGTCCAAGATGAACGAGTCCCAGACCTTGGTGATGTACTCGGGTCATCCGCTGGGCCTCTTCCCCTCCCTGAAGCCGAGTCCAAGGGTGGTCATCACCAACGGAATGGTCATTCCGAGCCACTCCACGCCTCCAGACTACGACAAGATGTTCGCCATGGGAGTTTCCATGTGAGCAGATCCTCGAACCTCTCTCGAAAACAACTGGGAAATCTCGGAACGGCGTCCGGGCCGTCAGCCTTTTCGGGGTCTGGAAAGTTTAGGCAAGACTCGTAGCGATTCTGCCATTCCCTGGTGCATACTGGGTACTTACCCGATAAGATATGCGAACCTGGGAGCCGGCTAAAGGTTTGGCCGGGAATTCCCGAGGCGTGCTTATCCAAGCCTGCATGGGCATTCCCCTCATATCCCCCCCCCCCCCCCCTCCCCTTAATATCGGGCGACGTGACATTCATGAAAACGCGCCAACGGAACTGCCGAAATTGGACTCTTGACTTGCTCAACAAGCTTTTCCGAATACGCTTTTCGGGCTCTGTCGGTCATTGTTCCTCATGTCAGCAGGTCAGGTGAATGAGACTCAATAAGCTATCTAATTTAACAAAAGCACAGCTCCCCAAGGCAGAAAAAAACAAAACAAAAAAAAAAGATTCGCGTCTTAAAAGCACGTATCGATGAAAAAAAAAAAAAAAAAAAAACAAGCAACAACAACAAAAACACTTAGAGGCAGATAAATTTTTACGAAGAAATACAGACTGACTCGTACGTATCTGTCAAGCCAGCGCCTTTGTCCTATCCATTCTCTCCCCTCGTCCTTCGTTTATTTTCGCGCTGTTTACATCATAAATACTCGGAGAATCACTAAACTTTTCATTCTATTCATCGGTTCGTTCCCCTAAACACCGTTAAAAAAAAGCTACTGCAAGCTAAAGAAAAAGCAGGAGATTCTGTTTAATATCTCTCCACTGATTAAAAAAATACCCCCCGCTCGAAATTAAAAAAAAAAAAAAATTGTTTTGCTTGATAACACATTTTAATTTCGGACTCGATTCCCCGGCGTGCCGAAGGCTACGGGTACGAGATGAAAGTCGTACAAGGTGCTCGTCCAGCATGCTGGTCGTGCGATGAACGGAGATTTAAAGCACTACAATTCGTGTTACTGTGCCCTACATGGGTACTGAAAATGCATAATCTCCCTCTGGGCCCACACATAAGAATTGCTACAAGGCCGACTATAACAAAATCAGTAAATAATAAAAAAAAAAAACTGTTTACACGAGGATTGGGTACGAAATCTTGTGCCCACATGTGAAGGAGCCAATGCGCAGTTACAAATTTATATATTAATTCTTTACTTAAGGGCAAATCTTCTTTATACTGCCCGTCAAGTTTCATCCGCGCGTGAAGTGATGCGCTCCGACGGCGGGCGAGATCAGATTATACGGAGGAAACATCCCAACTCTCACGTCAAAATTGTTACGAGTAGCTACTGGAAAGGTTATATGATCCATCATGTGGAATGCTGAGGGAATTCTGATGAATGACCTCCCTCACAAAAACCAAATAATCAATGAAAAAAAAAAAAAAGCGTTTCATGACAGAAAAAAAGGCTGTCATCGCTTTTGTAAATGACTGGAATGATTCCTAGGAGTGATAATATTTTTTTAAAGGGTTGACGAAGTTTTAGTATAGATTGAAAAAGATTGAGCGGATGTGAAGGGTGGCTCTGTGGAACAGCCAAGAAGTTTCATGGCTGTCGGACAACCGCGCCACACGCAGGCGCAAGACTTTTCATCCAACCTATACGTACTGTCGACTGTGGTGATTACTTCCAAGACAGCCGGAAGTTCGCCTGCCTCAAAATATGGCAGCTTGGCACAACCGCCGACCAGAGGCCTTTACATTACCGCGACTCACGTAGAAGCGAATACACGAACGAATGCCGGAACAATAGACCCTTTACAAAAGCCAATCGAGCAATCATGAAATTTATAGCTACGCTTGCCATTACTTGGCCGTTATAGTAGAAGTGGTTACAGTAGTACCGCCGGCTGTGTAGGGTAATAGAACTTGATTGAATTCGAACTGGTGGGGCCACCTGTTCCGCGTGAATCTGCATGATTCGATTCCTTTTAACCTGTCGTTTTTTGGCGTATATGTTCAAAAAAGGAATTTACCTTTTTTCTGAATTAATATAAATATATATATATATATATATATATATATATATATATATATATTGGTGCATTTCGGGAAAATTTGGGGACACAAAATAGGGTCGGCATATTACTGGTAAGTCGGTCTAGAACTCGACGACACAGCCGTAGTTTGTCAAGTTCGCGTATTCGGTGCCACGGCGCGGACTGTATTTTAGGTCTCAACATATTTTCATCATCATCCTTCGCCGAGTTCCCTCCGTAGCTTGCAGCGATTGACTCCCTCAAACGCTTTGAGGGAAAGCTTTGAGGGAAAGTAGACGCACCAGATTTCTGAAGAGCGTACGTTCGGCCACCGAATTACGCTTCATACTGCCACTGACACTGCCTATATCGTTTCTCACCTCTAAGGTACGGTCAAATGACAGCTGGAAGCTACTGCTACATCGGGCCTCAAGGCATTGTCCATGGCACAACGGTAAGACATCACCTTAGCATTTTCTTCCGAGTTGAAGTTTTTCTTCTGGCGGACTCCTTAGCGTAATTCGATTTTTTTGTTATGTATATTCATCGCAGATCACGATCATGAACGCCGGTCGCAAGTACCTGAAGATCGACGACCTCAGAGGGAAGGTGAGTGATGCATGAGTCTAATTTGTTAGCATAACACGCGGAGTTAATTCAAGCCACGGTAAAAAGAAAAGAGGTGTCTAAACGGCACCACCTAGCCGGGGACCAAGTGTGTCGAAGGTTCGCGCGTATTTCTGGCAAACGCCGTAAGATGGCGCAGCACACGGCAGGAGCTTAAAAGTGTATTCACCACTGATCTCCATGACAATTGCTGGATCGCGCTTCTCCGCTTGTTCGCTGCAGCGCAAATGAAGCCACCGGACTTCACTCGCTTGGGATACGATTTGCCGTTTTTGCTAGCCTTCGCTGCGGTTTTCCAGCGTGCTGTGGACACGTTTTCTACTCGTTCGTCGTCATTCGCCGAAGAAGGTTTTTGAAGACTCTGTGTATTGTTGAGACTTGCCGTTGTGAACACGTGGAAAATTTTACGAAAGTGCAGTGTCGCAGGAAAAAGGCACAACGCGTCGAAAGGAAGGGCTGGCGGCGTGTTCAAAGCTTCCTTGGCACGCCGAAGTGCCGTGTCTCTGTGCCTTCGCACGCTTGGATACCGACCAAGAACCGACGCCGTGTGTATGTGTTTAGCGAGTGCAATGTGCGTGAAGCTGTTCGTGCCTCTGGATCAGCGTCTTTTCCCCTCGCGGTTTAGGAACGAGCTTAATCCAGCGTCCACTAGCGACGGAAGATGGGGGGAAGGTACGTCTTTTTTTCTTCCTTAGACGATTTACACAATACCGTGCACAACAGCTCCTCATCACTGATCAGTGCTGGCTTATTATCAACCTACTTAATTGCACTTGACGTTTGAGCGCGGCTCGCCTAATTGTAATTGGTCAACAGATTGCACACGACCATATCGGCCGCGCTTCAAAGATTTTCATTCTCGCCGTCTTGTACTTTTGCTTTCGAAAACCCCCCTGGCTCCACAACGTTGCCCTATTCGTGCTCCCACGGAATCTATTAGAGTAGATTTGGGACATAGCCATGGTTAATATAGTACATAAGAACACGTACAGATCTCTCCCTTTTATTGATAGCAACTCACCGGAACAGCTGGACGATCCAAAAATCTAAAGGCATCTACGCGCGACACAAGTTCAGAACTTTGGCGCGGCGTCAATTCTTGACCGGTATCCAAGCGTGCGAAGGCACAAAGATGCATCACTCGGCGTGCCAAGGAAGCTTTGATCACGCCGCGACACCGGCGACACGTTTTCGACGAGTTGTACCTTTTGATACGGCTTCACGCACATTGCACTCGCTAAACACATTCACACGGCGTCGGTTCTTGGTCGGTATCCAAGCGCGCGAAGGCACAGAGACACGGCACTTCGGCGTGCCAAGGAAACTTTGAACACGCCGCCAGCCCTTCCTTTCGACGCGTTGTGCCTTTTTCCTGCGACACTGCACTTTCGTAAAATTTTCCACGTGTTCACAACGGCAAGTCTCAACAATACACAGAGTCTCAAAAAACTTCCTCGGCGAATGACGACGAACGAGTAGAAAACGTGTCTACAGCACGCTGGAAAACCGCAGCAAAAGGCTAGCAAAACGGGAAATCGTATCCCAGCGGGGTTGCGTCCGGTGGCTTCACTTGCGGGAGCGGCAAGCGCGATCCAGCAATTGTCATTGAGATCAGTGGTATTCACCCGGCGGACATTACCCCGGACAAGTTCCTACGAAATCGGTGACGTCACCTTTCTCGTGGTTCGAAATCCGCCATGTTCCAGGCGAACAAAGCAAGCAAAACTCAAGGGCTGGTCCGCGGACCACAGGAAAGTGCCCGCGAACGAGGCCGCGGCCCTGTTGAATGTTGTGATCATGTGGGAAAACATCATAAAATAGGTCCGCGGACCTGCCGTACCACGGTTATTGACATTTTAAACCCGTTCAATTGCCACTTTTTCTTGTCCCTGCGAGGTCAGCGCCAGTTCCGCGGTGGCCGAGTGGGCTAGCGCACACCAGCTCGGAGCACGTGGAGCGAAAGCTCGCGCGGCAGGACCCAGGATCCTGGGTTGAATCCCCGTCCCTGACCGTTTCGATCTGGATGAGCATCGTACCGGCGTGCGGTCGTGTATCACTATACTGCGTGGTGCACGTTAAAGACCCCAGGCTAGCGGTTGTACTGCACAGGCTAAGTTGCTCATCTACAGCTGGGAGACTCGTCGCCCGTTGAGACAGACCAAGGTCTAGGCTGTATAAATATACACACAACCCAACTTTTTTTCCGCGGACTCGGCTAACTCGACAGGAACCAATCGCACCAAACTGCTCGCGCAACAATTGGCTGCACAAGTGGTCTTTTTTTTTTTTTTTTTTCGTTCCTTTTTTTCTTTTTTTTTTTTCGGTCAATTTTTAGCCTTTGTTTATACAGCTCTCCTAGTTCCACGAGCGCTGAAGCCAAGGACAGTTGACTCAATAGCGAACGACCGGCGTTTCAGGACAGAGCCAAATCTCATTGAGCTGCTAACGATCGTTGATTTGAACTGAGCTGGCCTACCTCAGTTAACTGGCGGGGCTTCGCCTCAATAGAGCCGAAGATGGCGCCGTCCGCTACATTGCCACCGATGGCCAGCTCCAGCAAAGCGCTTAATAATAAAAATAAGAATCAACAAACTATTTCGGAAGAATAGGGGAGGTGTCTATAGAAAGTATCGTAGCAGCAAATATTTTTAGAGACGGTATGATTCGGGGCCAGAGCTGCAGCTAAAACCATCACGGCACTCGGCGAGCGCGGCCATGGTGATGTCGGTGCCGCTAAGACTTTCGTTATGTTTCTCTTGCTTAAATTTGTGTTAAACGATCTGACGATCGTTTCTTTACTCTAAAAGAAAGTTAATTACATTTAGAGTTAAACATTTATAATGAATAAAAAGTAATCATGTAACTCATTTGCATCACCTAACCAAAAAAGAAATAAAAATAAGTACTGTCTCATCAGTTTTGGTTTTGTCTCAGTTTCATCTGGGTTCCAAAGTTGGGGTTGTTAGGCCTATATGCCGTGTGACACCTGGTAACACCGGGCAATTTTCGGGGCCTTTCATCTTTGTCTTCTTCACTGGCAGGTTGGCCATACGCTAAATCCAGTGCCGTATATGTAAAGAGTTTGACCATTCGTTGGGAAGTATAGGAGACAAATCAGGAGGCGCCATTGGCCGGAAGCGTTCTGGGTCGTCTTCACAAATTCGAATGCGGCCAACCAGAAGCCGGAAATATACCCTGGCGGTGGTCGCGAGAGTAACTCTCGGTGATTGAAAATATGGTACACGTGATGTTCCAACCACGGTCATCCAAAATCCGAAAAGTGCGACTAGCGGAACGATAGACATAATCCGTACGCCAGGCGCCGATGGCCGCGAATCTGACGTCTGAGTGGTCACACTCTGTCCGAGCAAAACAGCGTTCGTGTGGCACATTCGTTTCTTACATCTTTCTGCATGATCATAATCGAAACATCACGTGCACCCTATTTTAACCATGAAGGGTTACTACATTTAACTATTATGCGCTCATTAAAACCATATACCTATGATTGAGACTGTTTCTCGCTACCACCACTAGGGGATTCATTTCGTCTTCTGGTTAGCCAAGGGAGCATGTCAAGCCCTCTTTCCGCACCTGGTGCACGCCCTAGCTTTGCCCGCGCCTGCCATTGACCAAACTCTCTCTATAAACGGCGCTGGCTAAATCCAGTGTACGTGCGGTGCCTGGTGTCTCTTTTTAATGCGAAAGCATTTACTGGGTCCCATGGAGCGAGCCGACGTCATCAGTTTGAAGCGCGAAAACGACACCTAGTTTCCCTGATCCCAAAGGTCCCATTGGCTGGCGCGCGGCGACGAGGCTCCCATTGGCCGCTGCGCGCGTCAGTTTCAACGACCGCCACCAGATGGCGCTACGTGTCCGTGCCGCCAGCACGCCGATAAAGCTAACCGGCGCAACCTTACGCCACTACGTGCCTTGCGCCGATTAAAACGGACACGTTGGCGCGCGCCCGGAGGCTTCTTCTCGTCTCGCCGCCGACGAACATGCCGTCGCCTCCATCATCCACATCGTCGGCGGTGCTTCTGCCACAACTCGAAAACATTACTCGCGCCACAAAACTCTGCGGATCACTCCGTGGCGTTCCATTGGACATTCATGCTTTCGCATTCACAACTCATAAGAAGTGCTTAGGTGTCTTCCGACTGTTTTTTTCTTAGCTTGGACTGCAGCGAGATCTATTGGCGCAAGTTCACAACTTTGAGATGTGTCGATCTTGTTTGGTAGCACATGGTGCGAAAGCAGCAACTGAAGCTTCGAGCTCGGAATCGCAGTCCTCACTTCAGTCCACGGTGACCATGGGATTTAGAGCCAGGTCCGCGGACTAACCGCGGACCTGCGGATTTCTCAGTAATGACGTCAAGGTCACAAAATACGCACATTTCTTTGGTCTGGGGACTTCGTTTCCTTAATTTGTCTGCCGTGTGAATACCCTTTATGGAGGCGTCCTTATTTACGGGCATGTTATCAAGGCCGCGCGACGCGCGGCTGCGCCTGCGCGGGGGGCCATAAACCGACAGTGCCCCTGCCGGAAGGTGCGCGAAGCCCGAGTGAAATTTCGGTCTCCTTTCTGGCCTCGTTCAGCCACCCCTTTCTTCTTCCACCGTGATCCAAGCTCTGTGATGACTCCGTCAGTCATTGCTTGTTAGGACAAATTGTGTCCAACAAAGCAAATGTCACATAATTACAAATTTCCAAGTAAGGAAACTTAACACATTATTCTATTGTTTCTTCGCTTTGTTGTTTTATGTGTCTATTATACTGGGCGTTAGCCGGGTAATTAAATTTTGTTTCATTTTCTGAACCGCACAACGAATGTAACATTGCGACAGAGAGCTCTAGCTCTGCGCAAATGTCACGCAAAAAAAAATTTAATTTAAAAGCTATAGAAGCAAGAAAACAGCGTTAGTTTATTGGCAATAGGTGATGTTTGTCTTTATACCTTCACAAACTCCGCTGGATACCAA